TGGGTTCTTTCTGCTAGAAAATAGTCTGCTTTAATTCAAGCCCCAGATGGGCAACACACTTTGATATGATTATGCATTCATGGCGACTGGGCTTGACTTAATTTTTAAATTTGTTTTGGCTGCCTCTTGAGCAAATATAATTTTTTAAAATTAAAATTTACCTAATTAGAAAATAAATTTGTCTAGCTGGTGTGGCTCAGTGGTCGATTCCTGTTCAAGGCACATGCCTGCGTTGCTTGCTGGCTAGGTCCCCAGTGTGGGGCGTGTAGGAGGCAGCCAATCAATGATTCTCTCTCATCACTGATGTTTCTGTTTCTCTCTCCTTCTCCTTTCCTCTCTGAAATCAATTATATATATATATATATATATATATATATATATATATATATATATATGATAAATTATTGGATGGCAGGGAATATGACATAACTCTTTCTTCCCAGGAGAGCCCTATCCTAGTCTGTAGAGACCTATTGCCAGGCAGCCATGCCTAAATGTAGTCATTGGAAAACATGAATGGATAATGATGAATTCCCCTAAAGGCCTATACGCTTTCTGCTCCTGGTACAGCTGGCTCTGCCAGGAACACAGAGACTTTTGCTTCTGAGTCTGAGGCAGAGGTGAAAGGGGCTCTGGGGCTAGAGGGGGCAGAACCATACCCCACTCTCTGGGGACATGGCCAGGATCTTGCTTGATATACACACTTCTTGCATCAGGTTGTTGCTGTGTTCATTTATTGACAATTTGCAGCAGAATTCAGAATTTTTCAAACAATGGATTCAGGAGCATGGTAAAGTCATGTTTTCAGCAACAATTTAATTTTGTGTTTTAATTTGGAAAGGATGAGGAAAAAAAGCTTAATATAAGTATCTTCTAGACTTCCCAGTTGAAGAGAAAAATGTTCTTAGGAAATAACATCTTCAGGAGACTTGACTGGGGTAGGTAAACATATAATACAATATAGACATCATATTATAGAATTGTACACCGAAAGCCTATATAATCTTATTAAACAATGTCATCCCTGTAAATTCAATAAAAATTTAAAAAAATTCTCCCAAAGATGGGCAGAATTCAACACAGCCTGTGCAGGAGTAGGACTATAATCATGCTGTGAGAAACTATTAAGTTCCAGAAAAAAATAACATCATGAATATAATTAATGTTTTTAATTTCATTGGCTTTGCAGCTTTGTTTGAAATTCAGTTATAAGACTGTTTCCATTTTACAGTTTGTATAAGAGCTTTAAGCCCAAGGAATTTAAAAATATACAAAACTTGGCTGGCATAAGTAATTTTCTAATAAAAAATTTTATAACAATCTCTCTCTTTAAAAAAATGTCAGGCAGACCTGTAGGCAGCATCCTACTGCTGGACCTTGAGAGACACCTCGTTGGCTTTAGCATACAAGTCCAAGTAGGTATCTGGCCTGGCTCCTCATCTGTGCACCCCACTGAATAGTCAGACCCATCCATTTGTGCACCTGGAGACTGCCACTCCCAAGGCTGTTTTTGTTTGCAGTCTGTCCTGATGCGGCCAAGGTGGTGGGCTGCCAATGGTCATCTCATCAGGGGCAAATGAAAGTTTTGTGTCCAAGAACATCTGGCTGCCCTGGCTGGGTAGCTCAGTTAATTAGAGTGTCATCTCGACAAACTGAGTTTTTGGGTTTGATCCCCCAGTCAATAAACATACAGGCATCAATCAATGAATGCATAAGTGGAAAAACTCAATGCTTTTTCTCTCTCAAATAAATAATAAAACAAAAAGCATTTGGCTGGCATCCCCACTGTCCTATGGCGTAAGAAGACCCAAAAACTTTGCCTATCTCTCAAACAAATCTTGTTTAGTGTGTTAGAAGAGAAAGACAGCTGCCAATCATGTTGATGGGACAAGCCCACTTTTACCAGATGAACTATACTTGCATAATTCAAAGATCTTAGAAAAGCATTCACCCATTGGGGGTAAAAACTGAAGCAATCATGAAAGCAAGGAATTTTCCAGGGATGCTCCATTTTTATCTTTATTATATCCACACAACTATTCAAAGTATAAACACATTTAGTCTAAAACTTGTGGAGCCAAGTCATGCTGCTAGATGTTAGATGTTGGCCTATTTTAAGTATGTCTGATGAATATTGAGAGTTGTCTAGATGTGCTTGAAACTTCAACTTTTGTGCCTGTAAAAGTTCCAGTACAGTGTTTATTTTAAAGGTATTAAGCACTCTTGCTTATATTCCCTCAATCTTACTTATGGCACAACTAACTATAAAGCATTCATGATCTTGGTACTGAACAGGAAAATTCCATCAGAGTGTTTACTTCTGTATTGTTTTATTATTTCAAAAGTTTAAATAAGATGTCTACTCTCATTGTTCTTCTGTCTAGTATAATAGCAATTCCCATGGTGTGCTAGGGAGGGTGAAGAAATTCCTTAGACTTCCTGCAGAAATTAAGGGTGGTGCCATCATTAAAGAGTGAACAGTAGTTGATGTCTTTGTGTGTGTGTGTGTGTGTGTGTGTGTGTGTGTGTTTAGCTCTGATGGTTAAAAAAATAAAACCAAAAAGAAGAGAAAGATGTGGACATACAGTTCCAAATCAAGCCTGAGAAACACTGGGGCAGGAAACCTATTTGCCAGTTCAAGGTCCCAAGATTTCTGTGTTTCCAGAATTAAAGCTGATACATTCTGTGGCTTTCGAATTATGGACCAAAATACCCTTTTATTCTTCTCTTTACCTTGGCAGGTAGAGCAGATCTATAAAGCTTAAAAGGTTTTCTTGAATCTGGAAACAATCCGTTTGAGCTAAGAAGTTGGGCCTTTGCTTTCAAAGTGGAAATCTTAAAATAAAGGACTGCATGAAGAATCCTGCCAGATGGAGACCCCTCCAGATGCCTTAAATGTAGGCGGTAGCTCTTGGGCAGGAAACAGGCTTGCTGAAGACTTTGTAGAGCCCGTGTACAACCTGAGGACACAGGTTGTGGGCCTGAGTACAATATGAGGAAGCATAGGGAAGGCAGTTGTCAAAAATAGAGGTTTTATGGGGGGACCTCAGAGAGTGATCGGATCCTAATTTCCTAGGGCAGGTCGTGAGTGCTCACATCCAGGATCATTAACTTTTTAGTCTAAGGTTTTGAGCCAGCTGTGTGTTGTTCTTGGGCATGTAGGCTGGAACCTTTGAAATACCAGATTACTCCTCCAAGGGGGCACTCAAGAGCACATTATCTTATGAAAGTAGAGAACCAGCACTTAGGGCCAGCTACAAACAGGTGGCAGGAAGCACTAGGGAGTTCCTTGTGGGACTAACAGCTGTCTGGAGTGCGGTCACATAAATCTACACAAGAGGTCAAATTGCAGCACACACACACACACACACACACACGAGCGCATACTAGTGCCTGGTGGACTTAGTGAAGCCTGTATTCTTGTGTAGGAAGCTAAATAGGCCCCAAAGATAGTCTCCCATTGGGGCTATGGAGGCTTCTGCAGATAAAATGTGAATAAAGCAATATCGACCTCCTGATTCTTATACTGTAGTCTTATGTGAGATGTTGCAAGGGGGAGAGTAAAAGTTTTGTGGGACTGTTGTATTTTTGAACTTCTTGCTAAATATTTCACAAGGGCAAAAAGTAAAAAAGAGAGGGGGTAAAACCTCCAAGCCACTAAGAACAAAGCAATGGAGAGTAGAGAAAGATAATGTGGTGGGTAGTTCTCTGACCCACCCACCTCCAACCCAAATGAAAACAGCCTTCTCTTTCTCACTCCAATCTGCAAAAGTGAAAAATGGCAATCAGCCTTGTTCTGCCTCTGTAGGGCAGGAAGCAGGATGTCCCGTCTACTGAGGCGTCCTATCTTGGGCACAAATATCACCTCACAAAACACTTACAGAAAGCTTGTAAGGAATTAACTAGTTACAGAGCAAGAAGCCTGAAATTATAGAGAAATTAGTAATTTCCCTGGAGCTACACAGAAGAGCTCAAAGCCAGGTCTGCTGACAGGGCATTTAAAAGAACCATTTTGTAGAAGGTCCTTGAAGACCAGAGTTAGGACTGAGCTGAGAAAGGAGAGGCTAGTTTCAATTGCTGGAGGATACTTTTACTTATTTAGGTAAACTGAATATACGCAATGAGCCCTTGTAATAAAAGTCATGAAACAGTTATATCATCTCCTTCATTTCTTCTTGTAAAGCAATTCATATTAAAAACTGAAAAAAGACCTGGCCGGTTTGGCTCAGTGGATAGAGCGTCGGCCTGCGGACTCAAGGGTCCCAGGTTCAGTTCTAGTCAAGGACATGTACCTTGGTTGCACGCACATCCCCAGTGAGGGTGTGTGCAGGAGGCAGCTGATTGATGTTTCTAATTCTCTCTCCCTCTTTAAAAAAAAACAAAAAACATTTTATTTTTTTTTTTACAGAAAGGGAGAGGAACAGAGAGCTAGAAACACTGATGAGAAAGAACCATTGATCAGCTGCCTCCTGCATCCCCCCACCCCCACTGGGGATGTGCCTGCAACCAAAGTACATGCCCCATGACCAGAACTGAACCTGGTACCCTTCAGTTCACAGGCCAACACTCTATCCACTGAGCCAAGCCGGTTTTGGTCCTCTCCCTTCCTCTATTAAGAAAAACAAAAACACAACTGAGAAAAAGCTAATATCTAGCATTAGGGAAGAGACTTAATCTCACCACTGAATTGATTTATGAAGTAAAATGTAAAAACATTTAAACCAGAAAAGAAAAATGTTTAATAAGCAAATACATATTGAATTAAAAAGTTTATTTAAGATTTAAGATTCATGATTCATATTACAAATGATAATTTTAATAACACCCCTTAAATTTACTAAAACGTAGGCACTATTTGTAATCTTCCTTTCTCCTCATCCCCAAGTATGTTAGCTGTCAATCTTTTGTTGGATAAAATTGTGACATTTTAGTTTTCCTTGATTTTTGAGGGTGTGGGGGGGAAAAATATATTGTATGTGTTTACAGTGACTTTAAAATTGTTAAAATATATCCTCCAGTGATTCTTTCAAAGAGGGTATGCAAGAAATAAACTTTCTGAATTCTTCAATACAAAAAAATACCTTTGTTTGACCCTCAAAATCAAATGCCAATTTGGCTGGATATAAGATTCTAGGGTTAAAGCCTTTTTCCTTCAGACCTCTTATGATACTGCCCCATTGACTTCTAGCATCCAGAGTATCCAATGATAAGTCTGCTGTCATTCGAATTCTTCTTCCTCTGTAGGTTACCTCTTTTTTCTTTCTGGAAGCAGTTATGATTTTTTCTCTATCACCGGAACTGCCAAATTTCACCAAGATGTGTCTAGGAGTGGGTCTCTTTTCATCTATTTTACTAGGTACTCGAAAGGCACTGACAATGTCCAGACATGACCTTTTATTTAGCTCCGCAAAGTTTTCTTCAATTATTTCCTTAATTATGTCTTCTGCTCCATTCCCTTTATTATCTTTTTCTGGAATTCCTATCAAACGGATGTTTGAGCTTCTGGATCTATCCTCTACATCTCTTATTTGTTCTTTAATTATAATCTGTTGGGCCATTTGCCTTGTATCCTTAGAGAAGTCTTCAATTCGATCCTCTAGATTATTTATTTTCTCTTTAAGTATGTCTATTCTAACACTCAGTGTAGATAGTTTTTTATTTCCAGGATGGTAATTTTTAATATCTCTAATCTCCTCTTTTATCTCTCTGAATGAATTAATTACACTTCTCCTAAAGTTCTCTTCTGTTTCTTGTAATAAGTCTGTTTCCTTAGATGTTAGTTTATGTTTCACCAATTTTTCCTCCTCAGAATCTGAAGCCACGTAAGAGCAGGGAAGTTCTTTAAGTAAATGTGAGGCCTCTTTTTCCTCAGTCTGGGAGGTAGTCTCTTCTCCTTCAGACTCCTCTTCTTCTGGCCATGGTAAGTACAGTTCCCTTTCCCACTCTGAGCTTTCTCCCTCCTGTAGCTCATAAAGCTCATAGTCATCCTCTTCAGTAAAACTATTATCCAATTCCTCACTGTTTTTTTCAACTCCATGTGCCATCGTATAATACTGCAAGTTTGAGTTCTGTTTGTCACATAATACTGAGGCATTTTCTTCCTCTGGTCCTAAAGACTCATCCTCTTGATCCAATTCTGAAACCTCTTCCTCCTCCCCTAGCTCTGAGACCTCTCCTTCCTCCTCCAACTCAGAAGCCTCTTGTTCCAGCCCTGAAGCCTCTTCTCCCTCCTCCAAATCTAAAGCCTCTTCTCCCTCTTCTAGCTCTGAGGCCTCTTCCTCCTCCAGGGCTTCTTTTTCCTTAGAGTTGGAAGCCTCTTCCTCGCGAGTCTCTAAGCTTTTTACCTCCTCTGGCTCAGCAACCTTTACCTCTTTAGTAAATAGAAAGCTCAAGCCATCACTGGTTGCTGCCACAGATCCATAGTTAGAGGCTATGTGAGTTTTGTTCTGAAAGTTAAAAAAAAAAAAAAAAAAGATTGTTGTTAAATCATGTTAAATCTTTTAAGACAGTAAATCCTTTAATTCTGTAAATACCTAGAATATTATATATATATATATATATATATATATATATATATATATATAAAAGTATATATATATATATATATACTTTTTATTTTAGAGAAGGGAGAGGGAGAGATAGAAACTTCAATGATGAGAATCACTGATTGGCTGCCTTCTGCATCCCCACCACTGGGGATGAGCCCTGCAACCCCAGGCATGTGCCCTTGGCCAGAATGAAACTCAGGACCTGTTAGTCTGAGGGCCAAACTGGTTAGGGCCCTAGAATATTATTTAAATGATTTTTTCTTAAAGGCTTGGATTTCCCCAAACAAGTTGTTTCTACTATGGTCACCTGTCACAGCTGCAATTGCTCGTGTAGTATTTGCAACAGATTTCCGTGCGGTTGTGTGTACTGTATTCCTTCCATCGTCCCAACCATTAGTACTTCAATACGACTTGTATTAGTGAATGGCTGGTTATATTTAAGGATAGAGACCTTATGATCTAACTTTAGGAAGATTATAAAACAACAGAAATCCACATTTAGCTCCCCTCCCCCCACACATTTACTTTTTAAAATTTAAAATCAAATTTAAAATTTTTAAAAGATCCCACTTGCAGTTCAAACTCTAGCCATATTAATTACAAGGAAAATATGTTTTGGTTAGTGCAGGCTCAATTCATTTCCGATTTGTTCAAATCCAGTCTCCACATGTACTACCAGCCTCAATGTTCCCTCTAAAACAGGATCTGACCATAGCACTACTTTTGTCTGTTGTAAAGGTTAAGAAAGGAAATTTAGGTACTGAGTTGAGGCAAGTCAGCAAGATATATGTGGGCTCAACATTTCTTAGAACACTTTTTGGCCCTGAGTTTTTTCACTCATTGCTCTGTGTACTGGAAAAGAATGCCCTATTTGTGACTGGTTGGTTCCTATTTGTTCAAGATCCCCATCTCCAGAACAGATTAAGTTCCTCCTGTTTATATTTTTGGAGAACAGCAATATCAGATTAAATGTTTATTCTTTTTTAAAAATATTTTTATTGATTTTTTTACAGAGAGAAGGGAGAGATAGAAACATCGATGAGAGAGAAACATCAATCAGCTGTCTCCTGCACTCCCCCTACCATGTGCAACCAACGTACATGCCCCTGACTGGAATCGAACCTGGGACCCTTCAGTCTGCAGACCAATGCTCCATCCACTGGGCCAAACCAGTTTTGGCTAAATGTTTATTCTTAAATAACAAATTTGTTTATCCAAGTGTATCTTCAAATTCTAGACTTTCGTTTTGCAGAGGTTGAACTTGAAAATGTTAGGAGGACAGGAGAAATAGATGTTCTTTTGAGAACCTGTCAAAAATATTAGCCAGTTTAGCTCAGTGGATAGAGCATTAGACTGCAGACTGAAGGATGCTGGTTCAATTCTGATCAAGGGCATATATGCCCCAGTTGCCTGTGTTGTGGGGCTTGATCCCCAGTAGGGGCAGATGATCAAAGAGTCCCTCTCATCATTGATATTTCTATCTCTCTCTCTCTCCCTTTCTCTCTGAAACTAATAAAAAAATATTTTAAAATACATATATTGGTTTACTGATATAGACTCCAAACAAATAAAGATATTGCATGCTCATGAATTGCAAGAATTAATATTGTTAAAATGACATACAACCCAGAGGAATCTACAAATTCAAAGCAATTTCTATCAAAATTCCAAAGGCATTTTTCATGGACATGTAATCCTCAACTTTGCATGAAACCATACACAAATCTCAAATATACAAACCAAACCTTGAGAAAAAGGACAAAGCTGGAGACACACTTCCTGATTTCAAACTATATGGTATTGACATAAAAACAGAGTAATGAGGGAGAAATGAACTCACGCATATATAGACAACTAATTTATGAAAAAGCCAAGAATCTACAATGGGCAAAGGATAGTCTAACATAATGGTTGGCAAACTCATTAGTCAACAGAGCCAAATATCAGCAGTACAATGATTGAAATTTCTTAAAACTTAAACTTCTTCTAACACCACTTCTTCAGAATAGTCTTGCCCAGGCTGTGGTAATTTGTGGATGAGCCACACTCAAGAGGCCAAAGAGCCGCATGTGGCTCTCGAGCGACAGTTTGCCAACCATGGGTTTAACATATGAAAGAAAGAGGGAGAAAGAGAAAAAAAGAGAATCTCTGCAGAATACCTTTTAAGATTGAGATTATAAAAATATTCAGAAAATAAGCTAAAGGGTTTTTAATGAATCAAGTATATGGGGAACATGGCCTAATATGCTGTAAGAAGCAAAAACCTTTACAAATTAGAATGGGTAAAAGTTAGCCGAAGCCAGTTTGGCTCAGTGGTAGAACGTTGACCTGTGGACTGAAGGTTCCAGGTTCAATTCCGGTCAAGGGCATGTACATTGGTTGCGGGCACATCCCTGGTAGGGGATGTGCAAGAGGCAGCTGGTCGATGTTTCTCTCTCATCAACGTTTCTAGCTCTCTAGCTCTCTCCCTTCCTCTCTGTAAAAAATCAATAAAATATATTTAAAAAAAAAAAAAAGAATGGGTAAAAGTTAGATATTAACATTAATGAGCAACTAGTTGGGTTTTATTAAATAAAGTTCTATTTGCATTTCCCTGATTGCAAATAAAGAAAACTTAGCAGACTACTTGACACATTAAAAATTGAACTGAGCTCAGCCAGCCTAGCTCAGTGGTTGAGCACTGACCTATAAAACAGGAGCCAAGGTTCAATTCTTAGCCAAGGCACATACCCAGGTTGTGGGCTTGATCCCCAGTAGGGGGAGTTCAGGAGGCAGCCAATCAATGATCCTCTCACCAGTGATGTTTCTGTCTCTCTTCCATCCTCTCTGAATTCAATAAAAATATATTTAGAAAAAGGAAGAAAAAGTAAAATCTAATCACATATACTTAATATTTCTTTCTTTCATATTCCCCTTTTATTTAAAAGCTATTTTTAAAAATAAAAAAAAGCTATTTTCCTGGTATTAGCTTTAAATATTTACCATGTATTTATTTATCAATGTCTAGTGTATGCACAATCTCCTCTAAAACTATTCAATCTTGCCCTAACCATTTGGCTCAGTGAATAGAGTGTCAGCCTGCAGACTGAAAGGTCCCAGGTTGATTCCGGTCAAGGGCATGTATCTTGGTTGTGGCAGGTGTGCAGGAGGCAGCTGATCCTTGTTTCTAACTCTCTATTCCTCTCTGTAAAAAATTCAATAAAATATATATTTTAAAACAAAAACAAAAACATGCCCTAACTGGTTTGGCTCAATGGATAAAGCATCAGCCTGTGGACTGAATGATCACAGTTCAATTCGGGCCAAGGGCACATACCTGGGTTGTGGCTCGATCCCCAGTAAGGGGCATGCAGGTGGCGGCCAGTCAACCATTCTCTCTCATCATTGTTTCTCTCTCTCTCCTTCTCTAAAATCAATAAAATAAAACAAAAAACCTATTCATTCTTACTTTTCCCAAACTTCCAATACCAATTTAATCATTGCTTTAACATCATGCTCTCACTTTTAACAATTTCTTAAAAATTGATTTGAAGACCAACTACCATGTTTCCCCGAAAATAAGACATCCTCTGATCCCCGGCATCTCCACCAAAAAAAAAAAAAAAAAAAAAGACATTTTCTAAAAATAAGACCTACTTACAGGTTTCCTTCTGAGTGAAATATAAGGCATCCCCCCGAAAATAAGGTCCCCCTAGGCTCTGTCTCAGAATGCTATTGCTAAACATGAGAGATTTGGTCCACTGATTCTGAAAGAAATGGAGTCACAAGAAATTCACCAGGAAATTCAGGAATTGGATTGTTCCAGGAGATGATGACATGATTGTCATTGAATAAATGGGTAAAATCTTGATACTGTAGAATTCATTTTGTCTGGTTTGTGTTGACAACTACCGTACTATTGTACTGTATAGAGGTAATAAATTTCCTTTATTTTCATTTAATAATAAATGTGTACTGTATTCTTCTTCATGGAAAAATAAGACATCCCCTGAAAATAAGACCTAGCACATCTTTGGGAGCAAAAATTAATATAAGACACTGTCTTATTTTCGGGGAAACAGGGTAGATAAATACAGATTTGTATGCTTACCATTTTTTCTTGAATGCCGTATCTTTTTCCTCCTTTCTTCGTGTTTTCATTTTCTGGGAATGCCCCTTTAAGTAATTCTTTCATACAAGATTTTTGACTAATAAATTTCCTGAGGCTTTGCATGTCTGAAAAAGTCCTGATTTCACCATCACATTTAAATGCTAGCTTAACTTGGCATAAAATTTTTGGTTCAAAATAATTTTCCCTCAAAATGTTGAAGACATTACTCCATTGCTTACTCATGTCCAGTGTTGCCGATGAAAAGTCTGCTGCCAATGTTAGTATTGCTCCATCTTCTTTGGAGTCTTTTAGAACCTTCTCTTTATTTTTGACTAATTCATCCTCGCCCTGCTCTTCCTCCTCATTCTCTCCTGTAACTTCTATATCAATGTTGCAGTTTCTACCTGTGTCATCTGTATTACCTATGTCTTCTTCCATATTTTCTAGAACTTTATGATTTTGTGAATCATCCAGGGACAACTTTTTACCTTGGTTAGTAGTGTAATCTTTACTTTGGTCTAATTTGCTACTGAGTTTAATTATTTCACTTCTTTTAAAAGTCAAATTTTCAATATCCTCAATATAGTTTTCTCCTTCTATTTTCTCTACCAATCCTCTTTTTATAGATGTGGTATCCTTTATTTGTTGCAACTCTTTTCTGTTATTGGGGTTCTCTGGATTTTCCATTTCAAGCATTGTACTTTTTACTCCTAAAAGTTTCTTTAGGTCATTTTTAAGAGATTCCCTTACCTCTTCAACCATTAAGTCCATGTTTTCCATCAAGACTTTAAACTTATTCATAATAACTGCTGACAGGTCTTTGTATTTTAAATCCAATAATTGAACCATCTCTGTTTCTATCAACTGAATCATTTCCATGTGTAAGCTGCTTTCTAGTTTCTTTGCAAGTGTAGGAATTTCTGATTGTACACTGGACATGGTGAATATGTTGTCAAGACTGGATTGTCTTTGTTTCCAGAAGAGTAATTCTGTTCTTGCACGCCTGCTATATTTTCCTTAAAATCTTTTTACAAAATCATCTGAAATATGAAAAAAATAAATTGCTTACTGAAAAATGCTTTAATCCCATGCAAGTTAATACCTGAATGTACTAAATCATCCAAAAGAGGCTAAATAGAAACTGATTGGTTCACCATACCATTAACTTTATGTTAGTATTAAACAAATTACAACAAAATGTTTTTAAAAGTGCAGTATACCAAATTTTGAAAATCTAAGGTGATTTGGATGGGATCTTACACAAATGAAGCCCCCATTTTGACAAAGAGATTCACGTTAGGACTTGTCCTACTTTGTGCCCTTCCTTTTGCAGGCTGGGAGCCTTCAAGGGATGTCTGACTGTCACTCCTACCAACACTGCACTCTCCAGCAGTGAGCCCAGCTATGGCTGAGCATACTGACCACCAGGGGGCAGCTTCTGCATTGAGCGTCTGCCCCCTGGTGGTCTGTGTATGTAATAGTGACTGGTCCTTCCACTGTTTGTTTTTGCATATTAGCTTTTTATTATATCAGAAATCCTGAAGAAAGTAGAATTAAATACTATGCCTCCTCCACTTAACACAGGCCCTATTTTTGCTTGAGGAAACTTTTAGTTTGTTCATTTTTGTTTCATCATTCCCCTATACTGCACAACTGCCTAACCTTGAAAGAGAAACTACCCCCACCCATTCCTTGATGAGAAGAGGAATAGCACACTACAGACCCATTGGACATCATCTGGAATGCCAGTTCCCAATCTCCCTCTGCAAAGCCTCAAAGATAATCAGGTTTTACCAATTGAATTTATTGCTGAAGTACTAACAATTATGTTACCCACTGATTCATCATAGTTGTCAAGACCCAAAATGCTTGAACTTGCATATTTAAAAAGAAAAACGGCACCTCTTTTTTTTTTTTATTATTAAATATTTCATTGATTTTCCAGAAAGGAAGGGAGAGGGATAGAGTTAGAAATGTCAATGAGAGAGAAACATTGACCAGCTACCTCCTGCACACCCTCTACTGGGGATGTGCCCGCAACCAATGTACATGCCCTTGACCGGAATCAAACCTGGCACCTTTCAGTCCAGACTGACGCTCTATCCACTGAGCCAAACTGGTTTTGGCAAAACTGCACCTCTTTATGAGGATTTGGTGACTTATAGGAAGAAAGTGGCTGTGGCAGGTCAGGTGCGGCCAGGCCCGGAGCAGCCGGGACGGGTGTGGCCAGGCCCAGAGCAGCAAATGCCAGGCTGGGAGCGGCCAGGCCCGGAGCAGCAGCAGCCAAGCCCGGAGCAACCAGGTCGGGAACAGCAGTGGCCAGACCCGGAGCAGCTGGTTGTGGAACGGACCAGAGCAACAAAGGCCAGGCCCTGAGCAGCCAGGCCCGGAACAGCTCACTCTTCGCCCACCCCCGCACCAAGGCTGTCTCTCAGAAGATGGCTGGAAACTTTTGCAGGAACTTGAGGGTCTGCTGAATCAAGTGATGAAGGCTTAGATCTGGGTATGCTGAGTCAGTATAGCGCTGGGGTGTTGATCTGTGAGTGCCTTGTGCAGGGCCTGGATGAGGTTGGTTGACCTATTTGGAAATGTCTTTTGTGTGAAGTGCATCTTTGGGCATGTGGAGGTATTATTGATATGAGAAAATGCTAAGTAACTGATTTACTATCTGAAAAGGGATTTACTATCAGGGAAAGGGAGAAAGGAAGAGACTGAACATAAACTGTGAACCTATGGATGAGGACAATGGGGGAGGGGAAGGGGACGGAGGGTGGGGTGGGAACCTGGTGGAGGGGGGGAAGAAATGAGGAACCTTTGTAATAATATGAACAATAAAGATTGATTAAGAGAAATAAACAAACAAATAAATAAATAAATAAATAAATAAATAAATAAATAAAAAAGAAAGTGGCTGTGGGAGCACACTGACCACCAGGGGGCAGCTCCTGCATTGAGCATCTGCCCCCTAGTGGTCAGTGTGCATCATAGCAACCAGTCAATCAGTAGTTCTTTCTGGTAGTTCTGCCATTTGGTCTCTGGGCTTTTATGTATATAGATGTGATTGAGGGAGGAACCAAGATGGCGACATAGCTAAATGCTGGTCCTCGCTGTCTCCCAGTACCACATCAAAATTACAACTAAAATACAGAGCAACCATCGTGCAGAACTGCCTGAAAGCTGGTTGAAAGGAAGTCCTACAACTAGAGAAGTAAAGAAGAAAGCTTAAACTGGTAGGAGAGGCAGAGTTGCAGAATGGGCTGGTACAACACCCACATGTGCCATTTCCTTAATTAGGAGACTATCTCTGTGGCCATCTGTGTGTGAGGAGCAAAGGGTACCAGCCCCACACCAGCCTCCAAGCCTAGTGTTCCAGATCTGGAAAAGAGATGTCCCTGAAACTACAAGGTATAAAACCAGTGGGGATTATGGCTGGAGATCAAGGTATTCCATTAAAAGGGCTAGCACAGCCAAAATTGGTTTGGCTCAGTGGATAGAGCATTGGCCTGTGGACTGAAAGGTCCCAGGTTTGATTCCGGTCAAAGGCATGTACCTTGGTTGGGGGCACATCCCTAGTAGGGAGTGTGTAGGAGGCAGCTGATTGATGTTTCTAACCACCCCTCTCCCTTCCTCTGTTAAAAAAAAAAAAAAAAAAAAAAAAAAAAAAAAAAAAAAAAGATATTAAAGAAATAAAAAATAAAAGGGCTAGCACACAAACTTTCCAGTACTTCCAGCCTCAGGAGGCTTCCAGGTATGCAGACACATACAGGGAGGTACTGGATTGGCTGGTATTGGGGGCAGGAACTTGGGGGAAGCTTTCTCCCAGACAAGGGTGCTCCCAGAGGTCATTGATTCCATGCTGGGACTCCTGTCATAAAGCTGATTGGCAGCCATATCTGACCTGGAGCATTATAATGCCCAGAGCACACTGTAGGGTGGCCCGAGGCAGTGGCCGACTTTGCACCTCCCTGTAGGAACTAGAACCAGTGCACCCAATGGATAGCTTCAGATCATTGCAGATTACAACTCTATGCCTCCACAAGTAACACACTCAAAAGGCAGACTCAGTGGGTATTAAAGCCCCACTGAATCAAGTCCTGCTTCATAAAGGTGTTTCCTGCACAGCAGCTCTTCCACTGTAGCTGGATCTTATAGTCAATTGTCCTGGAGGTCAATTCCTCCCAGTGACACCTACAGCAATCAAGTCTCAACTACAACAAGACTGTGCACACAGCCCACACAGGGACACAGTTCAGGTGACTGGGGAGGCTGAGCCACTAAGCCACTCAGGACATCTACCACACAAAAGCCACTCTACATAATACATAGAAACAAACAGGGAAACACCCACAAAGAAACATCACAAGTGAAAAAAAAAAATGGAAGTAAGCAAACTACTGAATTTTGAGTTCAAAACCATGGTTATAAAGTTACTCAAGAATCTTAGTGAGAATGTCAAAGGCAAAAAAGGACCAGTCAGAAAAAAAAGGCATATACTAACTGAAATAAAGAATAATTTATAGGGATTCAAAATTAAAGGATTCTGATAATCAAGGCAATGATTTGGGAAGCAAAAAACACCCAATCAAAAGAGCAAAAAGTAATAAAAGTCCAAAAATATGAATAATGTAAGGGCTCTCTGGGACAACTTAAAGGGTACCAACATTTGCATTATGGGGTACCAGAAGGAGATGAGAGAGTAAGGTATTAAAAATCTATTTGAAGAAATTATGACAAAATTTCTACCTGGTGAAAGAAAGGCAAATTCAGGAAGCCCAGAGAGTCCCAAACAAGAGGAATCCATGGAGGCCCACATTAAGACACATCATAATTAAAATGCAAGGGTTAAAGACAAAGAGAGAATCTTAAAAGCAGCAAGTGAAAAGCAGTTAATTACCTACAAGGGAGAACCCAAATGGCTGTCAGCTGATTTCCTCAACAGGAACTTTGCAGGTCAGAAGAGTGGCAAAAAATAGTCAACATGATGGATTTTTAAGGACCTACAACCAAGATTACAGTACTCTACACAGTAAAGAATTGAGGGTCAGATAAAGAGCTTCACAGACAAAAAAAAGCTAAAGAAGTTGATCACCACCAAACCAGTAGTATATGAAATGTTGAAGGGTATTCTTTAGAAGAGAAAGATAAAAAAATGTGAATAATAAAATGGCAACAAATACATACCTATGAACAATTGAATCTAAAAATCAAAATAAAAGAATAATAACTCTAATGATCAAAATTAACTGGTGAATAACATAGAATTAAGAGGCCTGGAAACACAGAACAGACTAATGAATCTCAGAAAGAAGGCAGAAGCAGGAAGAGACTAACCAAAGATCCTACCTATGAACACAGCCAGTGGGGTGGTGAAAATCTGGAAAGATGCAGGAACTGAGGTGGAGAAGGAAAATGGGAGGGGACATGTGTAATGATCTCAACAATAGAATAAAATATATATATATAAAAAATGAGGTATCAAGCCTTAAAATATGGAGGACATTAAAAGGCATACTAAAGGAAAGAAGCTAATCTGAAAAGATTTGTTTGGCAGTTAACTACTAAAGGAATACAAGTATTTAAATTCTGAAGTAATGCATAAATCTGCCCTGGATGGTAGCTCAGTGGTTAGAGCATCAACTTGTGCACCAAAGGATCACAAGTTCAATTACATATCAAGAGCACATACCTGGGTGCAAGTTCCATCCCTGGCTCAGTTGGGACGAGTATGGGAGGCCACTGATTGATGTGTCTGTCTCACAACTATGTTTCTCTCTCCCTCTTCCCCTTCCCATCCTCATCAATGGGAAATATATCCCCAGGCAAGGGATAATCATATATAACAATAGCCTAAAATGCCAAGTTCGGTTATCCATTCAACCAATCAGAGTGTGTAACATACAAATGATATGTTAAAACCACTCAACCACTCTCTATGATGT